CATCCCTACAAAGCCGGGACGGAGCACGCCGGGTTCTCACCGGACCAGGCTCTCACATCACCAAGCGCGAAGCGCCGTGAGGTATTTGGCGAGTCGCATGAAGGGTGAGCTGCCATCCTGCTAAGGGTGTTCGGCATCTTGTGCTTACTTCCTTGCGTACGGATGACAGCTGCGTATGACTTAATTTATTTTCTGGTGCTTTCACTTCCAGAGACAGTTGTAAGCACTGTGTAACTGCCTCGAGGAAGCTTGACCATTTTAACACAACGTGGTGCGATCATCCCCCGTTGCGCGGAGTGAGGTTTCTCCACCCCGCACAACATGATCTACTCGACCACCATTATGGTTACCGCCAAAAAAAAAAACCGAGGTAAAAAAAAAAACGGTAACCTGGTTGCCGAGTTCACGAAGTGAATTGGCTTGTTTTACAACGTCGTTGCCAAGCGACGAAAACCCAATCCCGATGGCAAACACCGAGTGGGGGGCTTGTTTTACAACGTCGTTGCCAAGCGACGAAAACCCAAACCCCGATGGCAAACACCGGGGGGGGCGGTTTGTTTTACAACGTCGTTGCCAAGCGACGAAAACCCAAACCCGAACCGGGGGGGGGGGGCCCAGGGGGGCGCGGTTTTGTGTCCCCATCCGAGTCATACACCCGTGAGGACTGGAGGGGGGGTGCACATAGCAGGTATGCATCGAGATACCCCCACATGAAGGAAGAAGCATACATGATCCGCGCGGGCAAGTGGTTCCGAGGGTAGGAAGCCCGACGAGTGTCTCGCAGCCTTTCCTGCGTCATACAGCAGGGTGTCCAACTATCCCACGCTTGCGCATTCTCTCGAGGGATGGCGGGATGGCGCCAACTTTCTGAGAGTCCAACACGAACATCTTCAAGCAAGATACTCAAGCGACCTTTGCCCGAATGACTACGGCAAATAACACATTCAAACGACCTCCCTCGCCCCGCCCCCCCGCCCCCCGGCAGCATCTCCCCTTCCACGTTCGTCCAGACGACTTCGCGGTGAATAGAATCGATGATCCCCATCTTGATCGCTATTCTAATCGAACATAATCAGTCGTGTTTCGAGGTGTAATTTCAATTTTGCGGAGCCTTGGCTCGATGGCCGCTGTAGGGGTTTTCGCTACACGTTTAACCTTGTCCGATGCACCTCTTGCGACAAGCGCTTCCACGTGGACCGCAAGACTCGCCTCTTGATCAGTAGTGGTGCGGAGCTACCGATCCAGTGTACTATTATAGGTGTACGGTGGACAGACGACAGGACATACGTGTGTAGTGTCGCAGCGATACAACAGAGGCGCTCACAAACCCGAAGGCTTAAGAGCAACGCAATGCAACAGCAGCAGCCAGAGCACGAGAACAGACGACCAACAGCAGCAGCAGCAGCAGCAGCAACAACAACAACAACAAAGACAGCAACAACAACACCAATGGCCGCAGCAGCTTGCGGCATGCAAACGCTAACCTGAAAAATTGGCAGAAGACAGAGGTCGCGGAAGCTCACGGCAGTCTTCCGGTGCTGTGGCAAGGTTCTCCCCGTCGTGGGGATGTTGATTTCCTCCACCAGCTGGTTTAGGATCTTGAGCCCGATCACGTAGTGGTCATTAGTCGCCTGACCAAACACAAGAACGAGAGCGAAAAAAGGAAAAAGAGGTGGGCTTGTTTCGCTTCTAAGAAAAAAAAGTAGGGGGGGGGAATAGAACAGCAAAAACCTGTCGTTGCATGACGTCACAGCTGCGTCGTACGATTCCAAGCACACATATGTTTGGGTCATTTCCGTCCAAAAGCACGGCGAAGTAAAAAAATGTTCTACTTTGCAACGCCACAGCATCATCCTGTGCAAACAGTCGTCGTTTGGAAGCAAGCAACATGCGCACACGACGAACGCTCGAAAGAGCGAGCGTTAGGCAATTCGCCGCAGCCGTGAACATCGATTCTGCTGAGCCCCCCCCCTCCCTGCATGACGCTTCCCCGCCAAAACATAGCGATCGTAAATCATGTTCCACAAACTAGAGAGCTGTTGCATCGCACAGCCAGCACGACTAGTCAAGAGCCTCTCTGCTTTCCCAATGCTCGGCTCCTTGACCTTGCCTCGTGTGTGAGCTACATACAGAGGCCATTTTATGAAGGTATTTACACTTTCGAGTTCGGGGGGTCGTAAACGGGCCTTTAAAGGCATGTGCTAGCCCGTACCTTCTTTCTATATAACTCCCACCGAAAATCTCTTGAAAATACTCGCGGCTAAGACATTCTGAGAGGTGGGGCGACATGTGCTGTATAAACCTTCAATCAGAACTGGTACATTGGTTCGTGTCACACATCCATATTCAGTCATGTTTCCAGTACTTGTGGGTTGGCACCTACAGGTTACAGTACAGGAGAGCACTTTTGCCATGCCAGAGGCAAGAAAGCATCTAAGCAAGAGTGCCTCGGCATACAAATGCGCATCACGGAACGTTCCACGGAAAAATCCTGTATCAGCATGTCTCGAGAGTCGAAGGGGGGGGCTCCGCAGTATAAGACATGACCGCGCGAAGAAGAGGTCGATCGTGAGGGGTGTTTAAAAAACCGCTTCCGGTCCCCAACCACCATAACCGAAAAACAATCGTTCAGCTGCTGCCGATTCGAAATCGTGCGCAGGAAGAATGAATAAACACACACACATATCGCTGCCTCAAATTCACGATTGATTGCGCCACCCACGACCGCCGTTCGGTAGCGACCTCGTCAAGACTCGTGCCCAGATCACGCACAAGCATGCACACGGGAGCATAATCTCTCTTGCACTGCACCCAGATGCAGACACAAAAACAGCAAGTAGGTTATGGTGTGCACACACAGAACAGTTCTAGCTTTCAGCAGGCTCAAAACTCAAGCGGGTTCTATTGCAACTCCACAAACCCACACAAAACCCCTTTGCACAACCAATAGGCCAATAGGGCAAGAAGAGAGCAAAAACATGTCAACCGACCCGCGAATAAAATAAAGGAAGCTGTACTGCTGTACCGCATACTATAATGAATTGAAGGCTCGCACCTGCAAAAATCTCATCACCGCATCGACCACCTCCCTGTGTCTCTGGTCGTCAAACCACCCCAACTTGGTGATCCGGCACAGCAGCTGGATCAGGCTCGTCCTCACGTAGTCCGTCAGGCCCGGCCCGACGCTGCCCAGGTAGTTGAGGATGTAGTTGCGGATCTCCACCCGCTGGGGGGTCGTGAAGTTGTTCCAGTGGCTCGAGATGAGTCTCGTGAGGCTGCTCGAGGCCAGCAGCAGGGCGTAGGCGTTCTCCGAATGGTCGAGGATGTACTGGCACTGAGGGATCCGCTCCGCGGAGGTCTGCAGGCTGAGGAGCTGGTTCTGGGCGTGGCTGCGCGCCGCCTCGTCCGTGGAGTTGTAGAGAGTCTCGCACAGCGCCTCCACCTGGACCAGCTGTGCCGCGTCCATCGTCAGAGGCGGTGGTGGCGGTGGCGGTGGTCAACCCACCCTTTTCCTTCGGTACCAAGTACAACAACGCCCCCCCCCCCGGGTGTCGCCAGTAGCGATGATAATCCTGCCGGCGCGTGCTCCCGAGTGTCGACCTCTAGTATAGCACTCCGGTGGTATCTTGCGATTAACAACACAGCCCCGCCGGTGTTTTCTTTTTCACCGGCGTCGTCTGCTGTGTATCTCTGCTGCCGCTCCTCTCGCCTCTTGCTGCTGGGGCGCGCCCTCAGTCTTCACCCGCCGAAACCTGCTGCCACGCACCAAACCGCAGAGCACACACATTACACACGGATTCGATGAGCCGGCGGAACCCTCGAGCGATAGTTCTTGGGATGTAATTCAAAAAGCGGCAACAGACAAAAAAGGCGTGTGTTTTGCGTGATTCCTGCTGCTACGGCGCTTCGGCGTCTGTGTTGCAGCAGCAGTAGCAGCATTGTATGCGCCCCTCTCCAGCAAACAGGTTGGCCGGGCACTACGACGATGGTGATGGCGCGCAAAAGGCCTCTTGCGGTGCGCACACACTCATCAGCCGCAGAGAAAGTTTGGAGTAAATGTTTTTCCATTTGGTAGCACTTGTCTGCGCTGCAATATTCTGTCTCGCCTTTGCCTGCTGCCGGCGCCCTCGCAAGGAGATCTACTGCTGTAAACTTTGGGTCAAGGCGAAGCAGAGGCGTCGCGATGGTACTACAAGCCAATCTTAGCCTTGGAGCACTTGCTGTACGGGGGGGCAGTACTGGTGGCAGAGGCACATGAAGAGGAGTGACTAGCGGCCGCACGAACAACGGGTGTGAGAGCTCCTGGCTGTTGGCTACGTTTGCTGCCTGGTGTTCTCCGTCCGCCTGGTGTGACAACGAGCAGTGCCGCCCTGACCTGTCTTTTCGTTTTTGGACGAGAGCAAGCTGTTTGCCGGGAACGTTGGTGTCTCGGAGACAGCAGACCTTGCAAGCAAAGTACCCTGCAGCCAACGGAGGCGGAGCAGAGAAAGCCATACGGGAGATGCACACGAGCTACCCCGCGCACGACCAAGCCAGCACCGCACACACGGCTTCCACACCCGTAGGGCAGCTTCCAAACTTTTTGCAAAATTATCTAAGAAAGAGGCGCGTGAAGTTGAAATCGGGCCAAATCCAGTCACAGAAGTAACGAGGGCAGGACACAGAGGTCGCTCACCGGAATCCTGGGCGCCTTGCTGTGGCTGTCCTATGTTCGCAACAAGCAGTAATCCTTTACAGCGCTGCGCCTTCTGTGTCTCTTGTGCTGCCGCGGGTCTGGAGACAGCGTCCCCGCAAAGTGTCTAGCAAAATATGTTTCGGTGTACCCCAGAACCTTTTCCTGTTCGACGACCCCCCCCTTGTTCAGCAAATCCTCTTGCCGCTGTTGCAGTGCTGCTGCCTGCTGCGCGCACACACACGTTGCTTCTCGTCTCTCTCACGCGGTCTTCTCAGTTCCACCCGCCGCGCTACTATCTTACACCCGGGCTGGTTCGCCCTCTGCATCCCGTCTCGTGTGCCGAGAGATTAATTAAATCCCTCTTTGTGACGAACTGGGCGACAATAAGCGACAACTAGGACAGCAAGAAGAACAAGAACGGACCTCTTCAGAGTAGGAGCACGGTGAGGGAACTGCGTAGGGGCCAGAGTGGAGACAATTCGCAGACGTCTGAGGTCAGATCCAGCTTGCGTCTGACTCCAGCGAAAGAGCTTGGACCCTACCGGCAGCATAGAGCAGATTTGTGCGACGAATACCCTCTCTCACGAACATCAACTACATACCGAGGGCGAGCTTGCGAACGGCAACACAGCAGGTTCACGAGGCCGGGCGCGGAGCATCTGTGGCGTGATCAATTAAGCACCCATCGAGGGAGAGGCGCGCGAGATGTCTAGCATGAGCCTCAGCAACAACCAGAAGAACGAACTCCTGTTCGTGGGCTTCAACCAAGACTACGGTGAGTTGGCATACTTTTTTTATTCACATCTTCCGTGATTTTGCCCGCCTTCATGTACGATTCCGCTCAAAATGGCAAGAGAGCGTGACAGGTGTCACCAAATCGAGAAATAGTGTGAGTGCGTGGTATCATACATCATACACCACGGTGTTGGATCGCATCGAACTGAGCCGCTACTGCGATTGTGTCAGTTGGCGACTCCGAGGAACCATTAGTCGTTTTTTTTTGGCCTAGCGATTCGCAGTCCATTTTGGAGACCGTGTACATATTATAGTAAAGCTCGCGGCCGGCCTGAAGAGCCGTTCTCGAGTTTTACGTACTGCTTGCAGACACACGCTTCGTAGATGCACCTTCCGGCAAGTATATCGTATATCCTGCGACGAATGCCCGCGGGTATGAAGACAGGCAGGGCTTCGTTGAAATCCGTATGACGCGTCGCGCTATTTTGTTTCGAACAGGCCTTGCAGCCTTATTGCGTGTTTCATCCAGCTGCTCTTCTTCCCACGGAACGCCGAACCTTGGGGCGTCATTCCGCGCGTTCCCACGGCACCGACACCACAACCATATATATATATATACATGTATATATTTTTTTTTTTATAATTTCTGCGTACTATAATAGTAACAGGCGCACCGTTACACCGCCAGCGTAACCAGCGTGGCGATTTAGCTCCTGGGGATGCACCCGCGTGGTTTTTGCTAGCAAACGAGATGCTAAATCTAACGTTGCGTTCGCCGCGTTGTCCGCCCGTTTTTGGACTTGGCTGGACCACCTACGTAGGATTTTAAGAGTATCTACTGTACATGAAAAAGAATAGGGAGGGGGCACGCAGACGGTATACCTGTATCCCTAATCCTAACCCCAAAGCACGGATTCAATACTTTATCCCAATTGTTTGGTTAAGCAATTTTGCTACTGACTTGGCTTGATAAACGAGATCATGCCAGCAACTTTATACCGTCTTTGTTTAGAATCCCGAAACATGGGGTCAAGGTCAAAGTTTACAGCGGTCGCCCGTCCTTGCTTTAGTTTGTTTTCCTTCGAAAGCGGTGATGGCATGGTACGCGATGAAGCCCAGCCGGTTTCGCGACAAAGAGCAGGCGTGTTTGGTTTTGTGTCGACATCGGGCCTGAGCGAAGCACGGTTTTATAAAAAGTCAACAACACCGATGACCACCACCACGTTGTACACGGTGCTGCTATGAAACCCTTTCGATTTCGGTAGAGCAGGCGTGTTTGGTTTTTGTGTCGATATCGGGCCTGAACGAAACACGGCTTTGTACCAACGGGGACATGACAACAGCAACAACAACCACCACCACCCCTAAATGGCACACGATACTGCTATGAAACCCGTTCGATTTCGGTAGAGCAGGCGTGTTTGGTTTTGTCGGGCCTGAGGGCAACACGGCTTTCTATAAACAACAACAACGAACGACACTAACACCGCCACCACCACAAAACGCCAACGAGAACAAACGATATCCTGCTGCTGTGTCAGGGTGTTTCGCCTGCGGCACGGACAATGGTTTCCGCATCTACAACGTCGACCCGTTCCGAGAGACCTTCCGCAGGGTTTTCAGCAATGGAGGCATCGGCATCGTCGAGATGTTGTTCCGCTGCAATTTGCTGGCCCTGGTCGGAGGGGGAAGAAACCCACGGTACCCTCCCAACAAGGTTTAGACGCGGGGGGGGGGGGGGGGCGGGACTCATGTAAATTTGGTGCATGCCTAGTTGTTAGACCATTGACCTCGCTTCCCGGGACGGAGCGATGTTTCGCCGGGCCAGGCGATGTTTCACAAGGTATGAACCATGAACCAGACGCTGGTCATCGTCCTTTGGGGCTGGGGAGGCAGTGAAAGCTCCGAAGGCTAGGACAAAGGAAGCGTGAATGGGAGGGAAGGGGAGACGGTGCGGTGCATGGCGAAATGTATACGTTGGTGCTGCTTTGCCGATCGGAACCGAATCGTGTCGCCTTCTCTCTCTCTCTCTCTCTCCCTCTTTCTCCCTCTTTCTCCCTCTCTCTCTCGGGGCGGTGAGGGTACGTACATGCAGCTGTGTTGGGACTTCAGCCGCAGCTGTGTTGGGGCTAATGCCAAGCCTCCACACACAATCTTGGACAGAGTAAAAGTGCGCGACATCAAGTCTGTGCGTTGTTTTGTGTGCCAAAGCACAACCGTGCTCGATGGTGGACATCCTGGTATGTATTTCCCCAACATGAGAGTACCGTTGCACGCAAGCGATAGTTTGCCCGCATCCGCCACGATGTCAATGGGGCCGAAGTAAGCAGCAGGGGGCGGGGGCGGGAGAGCCCCCGCCTTTGCGCAAGGGATAGGTGAGTCATTTCTTCTTCGATCTCTGTTTTTGTCAACACCCTGTGGTGGCTCTTCCAACCCGTGAGTACTTTGACGGGATAACAATGCGTCGACCGTAGACGGCGTATTCATTTGAGCACTCGACCCAATCGCACCGCCCATCTCTCCTTCGCATTTTTTTTTTTTTTTGACAGGTCATGATCTGGGACGACCACCAGAGCCGCTGCATCGGCGAGCTCAGCTTCCGCAGCGAGGTCAAGGCCGTCCGCCTTCGTCGCGACCGCGTCGTGGTCGTACTCGCCCAGCGCATCTACGTCTACCGCTTCTCTGACCTGCACCTGCTCGACCGCATCAACACCATCCGCAACGACCAGGGACTGGTCGCCCTCTGCGCGGACGCCTCCAACATGGTGCTCGCTTGCCCAGGAATCAGCCGCGGCCACGTCAACGTGGAGCTCTACGACCTGAGGCGGTCCACGCTGATCCCGGCCCACGAATCGGAGCTTGCCCAGGTGGGTTTATAGGGTTTGGACCGGCGTTTGTGTATGTTTTGGGGAGGGTGTACTCATAGTCTTGCATGCCGTAGTCGTTAGACCATTGACCTCGCATCCCTGCAACGCCGGGACGGAGCGACATGCCGGGTTATCGCCGGCCCAGGCCACGTTTCACCAGCGTTTGCTGTACCAAACCAGATATGCCAAGAGGGGAGGGGGGGGGGGGGGGGGGGTACCCTTCATCATGCGGTGCCGCAATCTTGAGGCTCAAATGATTTCGCGCTGGAGGGATAGGGGTCGGGGGCGTCGTCGTCATTTTCTCTGTGTTGTTTGCTCCGGTGTCTTGGTGGTGCATATGTCGGCCATCGGACGAACTTGGAAGCGAGGGGGCCCCGGGGTGTTGGGGGGCGGTCTGGGATTTCGATGCTACTTTTGCTTGCTTAAGTTCGAAATGGTTTTGGCGGAGATGGTCGAGAATGTTCGTATTTCCAGAGAGTTTTTTATTTTGGCTGGAGTAGCAGCTTTTTGTTGTTGTCAGTTTGTTGAAGGCCACACCATCCTCTACGGGCCCACAGGTTACTTGCCCCCGGTCTCCCCGCTAGATCCCCGCAACTCTCGCTGCGTAGGCTTGATGTGTGGTACCGTACACTAGACGATTACACAGAGCGAACATGCCGCCATTGGTACACGGTCTTTCCTCCTGTTCCGACCATCCTCCGCGCCCCCTCCGCTACCCCGACGCCGTGAAATCGAACTTGTGGTTTGAGTTTTTATTGAAAGTGACCCACCCTAGTGAAAATCTCACACATTTCCTCGTAGAAAATGTGCGCCTTTGTGTGTGTTGTACATGTACTCTGTACATGTACCTTTTTGCTGTTTTTCCGCTCTCTCCTCTCGCCCGCGGCGACGTAGGCGCGCGCTATTCAGTCATTATGTTCCTCAGCGACGCACGTTAACCCCCCCTTCCCCCCCCCCCATACTGCTGTGCCCCCATTCATCGCGGCGCGATCGATATCTGGCTTGACGGCTTGTCATCCGGGGCTGATGAACCTGCCTCTTGGGTTTTGGATTATTTTTTCTTCAGCTGGCTTTGAGCATGGACGGCAAGATGGTGGCGACTGCCTCAAGCCGCGGAACCCTCCTGAGGGTTTTCGACACCGACACTGGCTCGCTGTTGCACGTGAGTTGTTAATTCTTCTTGTTCGGCCGGTTTCTTCCGTGCGCAGAGGGCGCCCTTATTTTGTGTGCGTGTGTGTGTGTGGATGCTTGTTTTTTTCTGCGATGACGGTGGCATGACTGTCAGTCGCAGCCGGACGCGACACAGGAATCGCGTGTCGATATGTTTTTTCTGTGCGGATGTGTCTGTCGCGATACTTGCTATTCCTGCGATAACCGCGGTATTTATCATCAGTCGCAGCCGGACTTAACGTAGGAAGAATGTTGTGTGTGTCTTGCAGGCATCTGTGGTGATGAAATAGGATACGCCACGCTCTGCGGGACAACAAATACAAACGACCCCCTCCTTGTACCTCCTGCGCGGGGTCCCGCAATGGGAGGGGTGCCCGACGAATATATGCGTGCTTCTCTTTTAGCATCGACCGCGTGTTGTGATGAGAGAGAAGCAGAGAAAATGTTGGCAGTGTGTTGGTGCAACTGGTATGCCATAGCGGCAGTGCCTCGTGCCGTGTGTGCTGCGCGGTGCTGTTTGTTTGCCTAGCCTTCGGCTCCTCCTACGCTTGCGAACTCTCCCTCCCCCCCCCATTTTCCCGCCCATCGCACCGCTCCGCTCGCTCCAAAGGAGCTACGGAGAGGCATGGACCGCGCAGAGGTGAGCTCCATCTGCTTCAACCAGCAGAGCACCT